GCCCTCCCACTCATCAGCATCCTAGAAAATCAGTGGTATGCCTGGTGTTTTCAAGCCCATCCAGGGATCTAAATCCACAGTGAGCCAGAACTGCAGTTCAGTTTGCTACAGACTGTGCCACCAGGCTGGGCCAGACTTATGTTAAAGAAGGTAACTGCAAAGACAGTAGAGAACTATCTGGACTAAGAAGAAGTGGTAGACAGTAGACATTCTACTTAGGAGGAGTATGGCTTAAGTGGGTAAGAGGATACCATAGCCTGAGGACTATAAAGAATGCAATGCAGAAGGGTTGGAACAGTGAAATAGTTATGAAATAGAATTTGGAGAATACCTGGATATTCAAGAGAGAAGAAATTATGAATGATTTTCAGGTTTCTGGCTTAGAAGAGTTCATGAAAATGCTGCTAATTGGGAGTACAAGAAGAAGAAAAGAACATAATAAAGACAAGTTTAAAGACATGACATCATGTATGTCATATGTATTGGGAGGGCCATGTAGATGAGTAAATGGAATTATAAATCTAGTGCCTGATAATTTGATGTATGAAAGAGAGATAAGCTTAAAGATGTGATGTCATCCATGTTTTAATGTGTTGGGAGGACCATGGAGGTGAGTAAATGGAAATACAAATCTAGTGCTGGATAAGATGATGTACAAAAGAATGATTTAGGAGTAGTTAAAAGGTTGAAAGGAAAGACTGAAGTCAGGCAGGCAGGTGAGTGCAAAGGGAAAGAAAAGCACCTCAGAGTTGAAACCCTGGGGTAGAAGAGCATTTAAAAAGTGGTCAGCATGGGGACCAACAGATGGCATAATGGCTACATTGCTGGACTCCCATGTAGTCGACCATGGTTTGAATCCTGGGCCCCGTGACTTAAAACTCACACTGGGCATGTGTGTGTGTGTGTGTGCGCCCAAGATTCTGAGAAGAGAATGGAGGAGAAGGGACTGTGGCATGGCCATCCCTCTGGGTGGTGATTTCCTGCTTCATGTCTCTCTGGCAAGTGAACATGCCCTATAGCAAAAATCTCTCTTAAAAAAATAAGTGGTCAGCATGATAATCTATATGGTAATGCCTTTGTCATGACTAATATGTATTATTTTCGTGCTGGGGAAAACTATGTGGTACATTGTAAAGATGTACAGTGATTGCATGTGAATAAAGAAAAAGTGTTCAGCAAAAGAACAATTTGGGCATTAAAAATAACAAGTATAACTGGCTTAATAACACTAATTATTAAATCCCATGAGGTCATTATGGTAAACAGAAGTAAAAGCAAAGTTGAAACTAACACAAAAAACTAACTCATTGGACACCACGTCCACAAAGTAACCAGGGCTCTAAAAATTGGAAATAAAAAAAATATTCTGTCTTTCTTGAATGAGTCTTACTTCCAGATAACTAAACTGCCCTAGTTGATGAGGAGGTCAATGTTTCAGAAATTACTAGCTAATGAGGAAAAAAATAATAGTAATAGAAAAAAAATCACCATTTTTTAAAAAGATTTTTGCTGTAAGGCATGTGCACTTGTTGGAGAGAGACAGAGTGAGAGGGAAAGTGAGAAATCATTTCATGGGGAAGATGGCCACGCTGCAATCCCTTCTCCATTTCCTCCATTTTGGGCATGCATGCGCACATGTCTGGCATGGAAAATCACCATTTCTGAATTCCTTATACGATAATTCCTTAAAGAAATGATTACCAGTGGATGAAACCAACAGATAAGAGCCTGACAGGGAACTTTACAGTAGAGGGAGATCAACTGTAATCACTGGACTCATCGCTTAAAGTGAGGCAATCAGCTTTAGAAGCCCCATGATGTAATATAATAGGAGAACACAGGATCAGCTGTGAAATAATTTTGCCAAAAATGTTTAACTAAAAACAGGATAGAGAACAAGTTAGTATCACAGGAAGAAACAAAAATCAAGTTTCAACACTCCTAGGAAAAGACTAATTATTATGTAACCACAATAACAAGACACCCACCAGAACAGGTTCTAAATCCTTTTGGTTGGTCTTAAAGCCATTTGATTGATCAATGAAACTTCCTTGGTAAACACTTTTGCAAGCCAACCAATTAGTAACTGCTCTTTGTCTCTTTTAAAATTAGTCAGACAGGAATGAACTAATTCCAGTAAACACACCTGAGTGCCAGTTGATCAACAATCCCACCCAAGTAATCACATCTCTACAGATGATATTAACTCATTTATAGAACTGAAAATCTGTCAATTCTTGAACTCCACTCGTTCCCAAAACTCTGTAAGATCAGTGGTCTATCTGCCCGGAGACTTTACTAGATCAGCATTGGTGTCCCTTATTATAATAGGCAATAAAACTAGCTTCATGCTTTCTTTTTTAATTGTTAGAGAGGGACATTCCCTCAGAGAGACAGAGACAGAGAGAGAGAGAGAAGGAGAGGGAGAGAGAGAGGGAGGGAGGGAGGGAGAGAGGGAGAGAGAGGGAGAGAGAGGGAGAGGGAACAAGCACCCCTCAAGGAGATGTGGTCATGTCACAATCCCTTCTCCATTTCCCCATCCTGTCTGGATTTGGTGCATGTACACAAAGTTTTTCAAGCATCCAGGGCTGAGACTTGAACTGAGGCCAGTCATGTAGGGTCTCTTAATCACTACACTATGGGGCCAGCCCGACTTTATGCTTTTTGTTTCAGATATCTTTGACAAGATAAATTCAGGGAAATTCTATAAAACAACTGGCTTGGTTTCTACAAGTAAATATCAGGAGGGAAAAAAACCAGGGGGAGGCTATCCTAAGATAAGCAGATAACACAACCTCTATGAGGATGACCCATATGTGAGGATTCCAGGCTTATGCCTGGAAACCTCACTGTGTATACTGGGCATATGTATGCCCATGAACTAGGACTGGCTGAAGCTAGGGGTAGATTGCAGCATCCAGATCCTGCAGGGGATGTGCACTCACTTGCTCATAGAAGAAATAGACAAAT